GGCCATGGTGTCATTTATTAGATGAGGGTGGGAACCTCCTCGGATATGATGTGGTGAAGTCTAATTTTCAACATCTGTAAGTAATCTTATTTATAAGTCGCTACTAAAGTAAAGAACTTCTACACCCATCGGAAGCCAAGAAAAGTGGCTTAGAAACCTTCAAGTTGAAAATGCAAGTGATATAGACTGGAAGAAAGCATACACAATCGCCTTCAACTGTACGGCATCTACCAAATTAAAAACCTTTCATTTAAAGTTCTTACATCCGAGGATTGCCACTAACGATGTTTCAAAGAAAATTAACCTTAAGCAATCTGATAAATGTTGTTTTTGTCAACGAGAAATAGAGACTATTACTCATCCATTTCTGAATGCTAAACCTTAGATATTCCATGTAACGTTCAATTTTATCCGTTGTTGTATATGTAATCATGTAATTATACAGGTCTGGATTTCTTTTTTATTTTATTTTCAGTAATATGTACACGTTTCTGTGCTGTAATAAAGCATTATTATTTTTTCCTTACAATGTTCTTGCAAGTATACAAGGCATGGGTCCTCGTTATATGCTGGGTTTTATGACTTGATCTTGTTTTTTCCAGTATCTTTCTTCATTTTAACCTTAGACCGTTGTGTTTAAGACTAGAACCACTTTGGACCTTAAACACTATCTTTTTCAGATCACATGACCAGCCACGCCCATAATTATGCAAAATTTGGACTTTGCAGATTACACCACTTTACTGGGTCTGCCGACAATCGTTTTTCCTTCCATAATATTTCATTTACAGTCAAATAAGCTAAATTAATCGGGGATTTGTGAAATGATCCATTCCTTGGTAATTATTAGATATTTTTCTCTCGTCCCAGTCTCCCTCTTAACAAGAAACGTTATAGTTTACAAAAGGTAGATAATTTAAGAAAACCCCGATTAATTCCATAAACTTTGTGTCGATAGTCATTGACAAAAAATGAATTAAATTACAAGTGTTATTTATAAAGTGGTGTAAATTTGGATTGAAATGATAAGTCAAAAATGGGTGTGGCAAGTCACGTGACAAAGATAATACATTATTAATAATGAAAAATGAATGCTCATGGAGAGTAGATATTGGATTTTAAATGTTTATGGGAAAGGTAAAATCCCTACTAAAACAGACCACCCCCCTCCAAATTTGCTGTGCCCCATTCCTTAAGTCACTGGATCGGCAAATTGTGAGATTTTAGCTTCTTGCGGGTTGGGAAGACGTATGCCTTTACAATTTGGCTCTTGTCGAATTTTCAAGGCAAGTAACTCAACGGACAATATGAAGAGGAATGTACTCAGCGGGAACAGGGGTCTTTTTTGCATGAGCATGCGCGACCGCTGAACAAGCGATGTGCATGGAGGCTCACCACAGGGTTTGCCTTCATCAAAATGGCGCGTCTCAAAGCTATCATAGCGATTATTTTGCTCGTTGGTCTTGGCGAATGTACTCGTGATGTAACAAAATGTGTAGTTTGCAAAAAAAAAAACTCTAACATGGTCTAAAAAAAAGCGAAGTAGACCGGCTTTAGCATACACGAGCTACTATCAAATTTCATCTCCCCACTTGACCTGGACAACAGCGCGCCTATATGTAGTGCCTGGAGGATTGCGCTGACCTCATCAAAGTCTAGACAAAGTGCAGAAACGTTTGTTGATGCAAGTAAACACTTTCAATTTTCTTTGTTTTGAAATGGGAAAGGAAGATAAATATTAAAAAACAGCAAATTTCAACGGGTTCGAAGTGCGCGAAAGCCGATGTTCAGTTCAGCAGTGAATTAATATATGTTCTACAATTTTCCAAGCACTTTAAAGCTACAAAATTAAGAGCAAACGAGACGTAGATTAGTCACCTGGTGAGATGTTGGTGGTAGTCACTCTGTATGTCTCCGAACAATAAAAAAATGAATATCAATGAGACACAGTCAAAACTGCATTCAATAGGACCGAAATTAAAGTCCAATCTTGTGACCGATTTTGATGAAACAAACGGTTAGGTTTCCCAAGAAGTACAGTAAACATGTGATGCCGACCAAAAGTTAAAAATCATTAGAACATTTAAGTTCTGGCCAAAAGCAAATTCCTGTAAAAGATGCGTTACAATGTTAGTCCACGCAAAAACATGAAGTTCTACAATTTTCCTATAAACAAACTTTGTATCGCTAAAATACTTAAGGCAAAAACTCTCTATTCCAACTGAAAACGGCGTGGCAGTCGCCCGCTGATCGTTATTACTCCACTCCCGAAATATGGCTAAATCAGCTATTAACAAGTTATTGCCAGAAATGCTCTACGGCATCGAGAAACCGATTTACATCCGATTTATAGACAAACACTAAATAAAGAACATTTTGCTCAATAGGTACGCATCAGCAATGCATTCTATGCCAAACTTTGCGGTTCTTAAAGGGGAATCAAGACACGAGTCGAGCGCCAAACAACAACAAGCAGCCATGTTCGTGTCAGACATCCTTGAGAAACTTGCTCTTTCACCTCGTTCAGCGCATCAGTCTC